AACTTCTTAATCTCTAATTTTTGCAGTTCAAGCAAATTCTTCCCATTATCAAAATCAAAGAGATTAAAAAAAAATCTGTCTCTGGCTTTCATTTAGAAATCACAGAAAGAGATAGTTACATAAGGGCATGAGTTATGATCCAGACTTCATATAAAAGACATCTAAATTCTCCACTCACTGTCTGCCCTGCATAGTGATAGGCAATTTTTCTGAAATCACTTTAACCACAGAAGTTGCCTGTTGCAAACACAGATTGGGACTTTTGAGTTTCTTAAAGTGACAGAAGCCCTGCCTGGTTATTGGCTCACATTCCTCCAACACTCACACATTTTGGCCTGCCATCTCTCCCGATCTTTACTGTTTCAGTCCACTTCTGGAACCCGAGGCAGAGGTACAGGGGTGCCGCTCTCCTGCTGGCTCCAGGAAGCCCATCTGCATGGAGCTGGAATCTCCCAGCCCCTAGCCAGTTTTACCTTTGGAGGACAGTCCACCTGGTTGCTGCCACAAAACTTAGTGTGTAATTGGTTTAATGCAAAACAAAACTCCATGTAAAATTCCATACACTCTGCCTTTACACTGCATTCCCTTCAATGTGGCTAAGGGGAAAAGCACTGAGACCCTTTCCCGCTTCCAGCCGTTACTTCAATTGTGCTAAAGTAGATCTAACACAAGCTCTACCATGCTAGCTCTCAAAGTGCGCATCTCTGGACACGCACGTCGCACACCACCCCACAACGCTCTCCTCCAAAGTTCTTTGTGACACTCTTTTTTCCCCAGGGGAGGCAAACAAAAATGGATTGTTTTCAATAGAAACTCAGTTTTGGATAATAGAACTAGACACTAAAAAGGGCACATCTTACAGTATTTTAGCTGTGCTTCAACAGCACTGACCGAAAACAAAGGAAGACCATGCTGTGGGAAATGAAGCCAGTGAGGAATGGGCCCCCGCTCCCACAGGGGCAGGTAGATGCAGAGAGGTCACTGGGATCCTAGGTTCCTGGCAGCTCCCTGCCAGTACTTCTGAGTGCCTCTTCCCAGCCACCCTGCCAGCCCCTGGAACTGCTCATGTGCAGGCTTCAGGAATCCCATCCTGGCCTCCAGAGAGACGGTCGAGAAACTACAGCAATCACGAAGGTGAAAAGGTGCTAAAACGAGGCACTGTCAAAGGAATGGAGGCAACGGCCATGCTCTGTTCTTAGCTTTACCTCGAAGAAGCCACAAGGGCCACCATTTTGTTCCTATTTTCAAATGGCTTGAACAATAGTCACTTGACCTCAATAAAATTTATGTGGTGCATTCAATGAACTCTTAGTAGATCTGCCAGCAACAAGGAATCTGCTACACAGACAAAAGTCCCCACATCAAGCCAGTGGTCTGTGCAAAGCAGTGTGGTGAAATGGACTAAGTACACCAACATTATTTTGGAATAACTACGGCTTCAGAAGCAGGAACAGCTATTCCACAAGGCTTCTTATAGATGAAATTGGAGATGACACAGCTGCTCCATCAATACAGGAAGGGACTAAACAGACTGTAGGGCGTCACACAGTGGGATGACTTACCCAGGGTCTATGTGAAGGAGTGGGCAATGGTTCTCAAGGACCCTTCAAGTAGAGCATGGATTGTAGATCATGCTCCGTAGCATGATGACATTATCCTTTAAAAAAATCTATGTGTAACTGTAGAGAAGCAGGTAAGGGTAGATAACAGTTAAGTGGCAGGAACTTCCAGTGTGCATTCCACACAGCATCCAGAATAATGCTTGTATATGAGCCCCACTTTTATGGAACAGTATACCAAACAGGAAGGACCTGTCACGCCACAATTTTCACTGGAAATCTAGATAATGTAATAGTCCTCATAAAATAAGCTCTGCCACAGAGTGGATGTGCATGTTATGCCAATTGCTTTGAGACTCTATTTTAAAATGTCTGGTGGTTACATATATCAGAGGGCATCTGGGTAAGCACACATGACTACTGCAAAGGCCCCCTGTGAATCACAAGGAAACCACTTAAGACATGAAAGTCACATGCTTACTTTGTTCTCACTTAAATCATTAACTTGAACCTTATCTTTAGCATTTTTTTGCAAGTGAGCAAATCTTTGACACTGCAGTTCAAAACACACTAAAATAGCATGCGAGCAGTACTTTCCCACTCTGAATGCTACGTTCGGAGTATGTGCTGGTGCCAGGGCAGTTAACTGGCATTATCTGAGTGTGAACCAATCATGCGTTTTGTTCTCTTTGCTTCCAAATTTGATCCTCCCAGAAATCCTAACCAGAAATGGAGACACATGATTATGGAGGCCCTTACATTTTTAAAAGCTTTCAGAGGAATGTATGGACGAGCCTTTTGCAGTAGACCGTTTAGCAACTCTTAGTTGCAACTAGTCATTTGAGGCACTCAGCACTGTCAGGGCCCCATTCCAAGCAGCTCTTTGCAGACAGGCTAAAAGCGTGCTCTACTAAGCTTTAGCCTACTTGAAGAAAAAAAGAGAGACAAAAGCAAGATAGTAGGTGTAAATGACTAAGGAGGGCCCCTGAGGGGTGCTCTGGGAAGCAGAAGGTTTGGAGACCCATGTAGAATGTCTTGATAAGAAGTCTAGACTATCAGCCATCTGTTGGTGGTGAGGAAAACCAGATTATAAAGAAGCTGTATAAAGCCAACAACTATAGGGATAACGTGCTGGGAACCTTGGGATGATGTGTAGGATTCCAGCTCCTTTTATGCTGCCCATGCTATTATCTATGACCCCAAGTGACACTAAGGAGTGACTTCTATCATGTGTGCCAAAAAAAAAGTGCTGTCAGCTTACAGGAGAGGGTAGACATTTCTAAATTCCAAAAGGGAAGAGGGAATAGTAGTAAAAAAGAGAACAGGAGGAAGATAGTGATGGCAAAACATATGATACCAACATCTACATGGATTTGAACCCCCCTACTCTGAATCCTATAGCAATTAAATTACATCTACAAACGCTGCCCCTAGTCGGGCTATGTATATACTTGCTGTTCGCTGTAAGCACGCAGGCCCTCTGACAAAAGACTCAGGGTAGAGAAAATAGGCTAGGCTGCAGGATGTTGGCCGGATTTCTTCTAATCACTTGTAAGGTTCTTTTAGGGATTAGGGTTGCTCCAGCACACTGGGAGCTACTGGGTCAGCCAGACCAGCCATCCTCCATGTAGAGGCAGCCACACTCCAGGCTCACAGAGCCAAAAAGAAGCCACCCTTTATGCAAACCAGCAAAATGCTGTTTTCAGGTGGACTTGAACACGCACGCAGAGGCTGTTACTGTCCCACTGATGCCTTCTGCTGGACAGCTATGCACCGTAAACAAACAGTACAGCTTGGGAAAATCCCCTGTCCTAGTGCAGTTACCTGACAAGTGGCATCAACCTGTTTTGTGACCTGAAGAATTCATTAGGAAACAGTTAACACGCGGATAAAATAGTAGTTAGTCACTGTTACAATAGCGAGTCACCTGCTTGAGCTGGGGGCCCTAGGAGACAGAATTGGGAAAATTTCTTCCTTAGTTATTTTTTTATAAGAGCTGAAGAATTATATCATAATAAAGTGAGATATTAAAACAGAGGCAGCATTGATTTCTTTTGTTCTAAAGATACCTTTCTAAGTGCTGGCATTACAGGCATGTGCCTCCCTATCTGACTAAAACCTTTTCATGGTCTTTTTGACAGCAGCCAACGTTAACTTAACCGCCCCTCATCTCTCATTGTTGCTATTATCATTTGGTGTCGTACTTACTGAGAGCTGAATTCAGGACTTTGCACATGGTAAGCAAGTGCTCTACCACAGAACCCCATGCCCAGCCCTCCTCTCATCTAGACACATTTGGCAATCTGGTGTGTCCAGATAGCCTCAAAGACACACTTTTACAGCGGGGCTGTTCTCAGGAAGGAAGACCAAGTGACCAGTTCCAAACAGCAAAAACCAAGAATTAGTGTCTTGGAGAATTGCAGGCCTGTGCTGGTCAGTGTTTGTAACCTTGACACAAACCATGGTCATCTTGGACAGGGAACCTCATTTGAGAAAATGCCTCCATCAGATTGGCTTCGTGGCAAGTCTGTGGGGACATTTTCTTAACTGATGATTAATGAGGGAGGGCCCAGCCCACTGTGGGTGGTGCTACTCATGGGCAGGTAGTCTTGAGATGTGTAAGAAAACAAACAGAACAAGCCACAGGGAGCAAGCCAGTGAGCAGCCTTCCCCCCACCCCTGGTTTCTGCATCAGCTCCTGCCTCCAGGTTCCTGCTTTGAGATCCTTCCCTGGCTTCCCTCAGCGATGGACAACAGCTAAGCTGAACTGGTCCTTACATCCTGAGCTGCTTTTGGTCAACATTTTATCACAGCACCATAAATCTAACCAAGATAAGGACAACAGAACATGAGCTCAATGTAAGATTTTAAAAGATCTTGTCAGTTTCCTAGTAGATGCCCCCACTCCCACCTGTGACACACGAGCCTTAGCATCCCCAAATCCCAGGGCTAGTGAGGACATATTCAGGAAACAACAGATTCCATGACAAACACAGCAGGGAATCAGACCCTGTTCATACAAGGGAAGAAAATCACAGGACGGGGTGTCTGGAAATGTCTCAGAGCCAACCAGAAAGATGGCACCTCTATTTCCTGGCACTGACCACATGGGTCTCCTTCCGCTTTGGCAAGATGAAGGAGAGAGTGACAGCGGTATCCTCTGCCACCACTGACACAAGCCAGAGGCAAGGAAGAGGAGGACAGTACCAGGACAGGGATGGGGAGCTTAGGAGGAATGCGAGGCTGGACAAAGAAGAGAGGCTGTGCCAGCCCTCATGGCACAGCCAGCTTTGAGGAGGTTGCATGAGACGAATCTTAGTAAGATCCAACAGTATCTTTATCTTTTGTTTTCCACTAACAAAACCCTTTCTTAAGATGGACCCAGTGTCTAAAGATGTCCTCTGAGAGGCCTGTCTCCTTAAGGGGAGGGATACTCCTTACCTCAATGATGTAGAGGACCACATTCTTGTAGAAACAGTAGAGGATGCACTTGGTCACCCGGTTGTAGCTCCAGGCTCCGTGAACTAAAAGCAGCTTCTCCAAGTAGGAAAACTGAAAAGGGACAGTGACAAAGTTCAGAGAAGCCCGCCATCGAAGAGTAAAAGATACATACTGTCTTTATGAGCAGAAAATAGACAGGAAAGGGAGAGGAAACCAGACTCTTAGGTATTCAAAAAGAAAAAAACAGCAAAACACACCAATGAAAAACAAAAACAAAACCGATTTCCCTGGTGGGGCTTTCAGAGCAGCTGAGAAGGAAAAATCTCTTCGATTGACTAACTGTTGTCCCCAAACCAGCTGCTGTACCCTCACTATGACTGCTGTGGAACTCGTTGAACTGAATGCCTTTCAGAGATGTAATTAGGCAAAGAAGGTGACTATCCAAACTGTAAGAATAGCACACTGGAATGGGACACTTCCATAAGATCCAGTCACAACGTTTATGGTGACCACAGGAGGAAGGATATTCATCCAGCAAAGGTTTGATTCAAGAAAGGTATGCATATGAGCACAGTGTTCTGTCAGTTTGCTACCTAAAAACAATCATATTTCTCAGCCGGGCATTGGTGGCACATGCCTTTAATCCCAGAACTCCGGAAGCAGAGGCAGATGGCTCTCTCTAAGTTCGAGGCCAGCCTGGTCTACAGAACGAGTTCCAGGACAGCCTCCAAAGCAATACAGAGAAACCCTGTCTCGAAAAACCAAAAAACAAAAAACAAACAAACAAACAAAATTTCTCATACCCTACAGAGGCACCTGGACAGACTTACCCAGGGTCACATAGATACAGAGACATACAAGTGCAACACACACACACACACACTTTTCGTGATGTAGTTCTTCTTTATCTTCCACTCAGAGTACCTGGCTGTGCAATTAGGGGCAGCTGACTAGCTCTGGGCAGGAGTGATTTAAAGGCTTTTGTAGTCTGAGACAAAGCCACAGTACTCTGATAGCATACACCTTAAATCAACTGTCTCCCCAGAGTTATTCAAGACAGACAATGGCAGGGGCAGATGCAATGTTTTTTGGCAGACTTGGAGCTGAGGGCTGTGGATACACACTGCACCACACAGTCCCTCTGCCTAGTTTAGGGAGCCAACAGTGTCCAGCAGCTGATGTGTATGCAAGCGTAAGGCACACAGCAAGGGCATGGAACCAGGGCTCTGTCCGCCACAGGACTTCCTTGGCATCTTTTCTTTATCTTGTAGGGCATTCCCTTCCAAACACGATTTAAAAGAAATGCAGCTGCCCACAGTCAAAGTAATAAAGAACATGGTATTAACTGCAACCAGACACGGTTATCACTTCAATGGGGCAGAGGAACTTACCCAACTGGTGGTGTTTCTGGCATGGTAATTAAGGAAGAGGCAGTTTAGAGTCTTGGGCACAAAATTCAGCCCTGAGATGACAGCATGCCTCTGCATGATAATGAACAAGGAAATCCAGGCATGGGTATCAGTAGCTACCTTATGTTCCTTTGGTAGAGGTGGCTACTACCCTGGAGGGCAAATAAAAGCCTCCAATGGACTGGGCTCTGCCCCACCCCTCTCAGGATGCCTCCTTTAATAAAAGAGGTTGTTTCGCCTTTCCCTTCCTACCCATGTGTAGCTTCAGTAAGGAATCCCTGCTCCCTAGACAATCTAAAGAGAAAAGCAGACAAATATTTGCCTATAACTCCTAGGAAACCTCTTAAGTTCCCTTCCAGCCATATGATGTTATAACTCAAGTATTTAATAATGCTGGGGTGTATAACATCCACGGTTGCTGACAGCAGGCAGGAAGCGTGGCTCCCATGGGTCTCTGTACAGTTGACTCGGCAAAGTAATGGAGCAGGTGTGTGTGGCAACCCCCAAGTTCACAGGGGTCTGTTGCTCTATGATGTTGGGCCTGTGCTCAGCCCTGAGGCCCATCATTGGGAATGTAGGAACTTCAGATTCCTCACCTGTAAAACCAGAATGCCTACTGCCCACTCCAGGAATCAGCTCGGGGATTTGACGTCCACAAAGGAACAAAACTAACTTACTCAGTTTTCAAAGCCACATGGTTTGGGCAATTTCTTGCTGCATTTTCAGAACCTCAAACCAGAAGGAAACATGAGAAATGAACAACACAGAGCTTCCTTCAGGGGTGGGGAGCCCCCAAAGTGGCAGAGGAACAGACCAGAGCCCTGGGACTTGGTAGAAGGGTGCTTTCTATGCATCTCCTTATTTTAGCTGAGCAGGTGACAAAACACTGTTCCTTATAATCATGCAGTTAGGATTAAATGTTCTTCAAAAACCGTTTCAGGGGATCAGGTGGTGCAGGGCTGGTGCTACAGCAAATACAGGCATTTAGCTACATGACCCTACAATTGGGTATCTGGGAGAACATGCCAGTATTCCCTGGGACTGTACTTCCAGATGACCTACCAGGCCAGATAGCCCAGATATTCCCTAGAGGGTCCTGAGGTTGACTCTTCTGGCTATCATGAAGAGTTAGACATTTCTTAGATTCTTGGAGCACATGTGAGGAAACACATCAGAGACGATAACTATGAGGCACATCAAAACCATGCTGCCGACATAGTTTGGAGAAGAATGGACTGAACTTGGCCTGACTGCAGGAGGTTGCTTGCTACTGACCATGAGTCACTTGGGCCCTGTCCTCTCAGGTCACCTTAGAGCAGGGGTCCTAGAGGGTTCCTAAGCCATGATTGCCAAGAGAGAATGTCTGTAAGTGGCTGCTTTGTTCTGTCTTTAACCACTCACCCAGAGTCTGCCAGCACTTCTGGAAGAAGGGAGCTTCCTGAGTGACAGACTAGCAGAATGGTACTCTGAGAACAGCTGTTCTTCAGGGAGGGATGTACACACACACACACACACACACACACACACACACACACACACACACACACACACACACAGGCCAGCAAGAACAAGAGTAGAGGTCAACAGAGGCCTAGGGACCTGTCTACCAGGCAGAAAGGCACATCTTTGAAATGACAGGTCCATGGGTCAGTCCCACCTCTGGCCCAAGGAAACCCAATCCAGAGAAGGGGCCTCAAACGTTCAAGACCCAAACAACAGATACATCAGCAGGCACCGGCAGTTAATCTAGATTGGTGCTCTCCCAAGGCAGGCAGAGTCTCTGGGCCAAGCTCTAGGCTGTTTCCTGTGCCAGCTGCCATCACTGGTAGAAGGAAGGCTGACCTGTGCAATGGCGTAATCTGAGTTGTTGGTAGCCTGCATGCCCTCGTTCCCGCTGATCCCCACCCCTACGTGGGCTGTCTGGATCATCCCCACGTCATTGGCACCGTCCCCGATGGCCAGCGTGATGGCTTTCACCTGCTTCTTCACAACATCCACAATCTCAGACTTCTGCAGAGGGGACACTCTGTGGGAGAAGAGAGAAGAGGAGGAGTGAGGACAATAAGCATTCTTCCTGAGGGAACAGCTGCAGCACACAGGCTGCGACCAGAGGCAGTTATCAGACAACCTCTGTAGCATGAATTCCAATTGGTCTTAATAATAAATCCCAGAGTCAGATACAGGGTAAATGCTGAAAGACCAGAGAAGCAAAGGACCAACCACAAGAGAGACTTCTTACCTCTACTGAATCCTTAGACGGAAGGGGTGATCTTGTCCCTACAAACCCTTATACTGATGCTGTCTCTACGAAACCTCAGATTGAATGCAATGAGCTCCTGTTTCTTCCAGTCTTATATTCCTCTCTCTACCTCCCTAGTGCTGGAATTAAAGGCCTGTGGCCCCCAAGTGCTAGGATTAAAGGTGTGACCCTCAAGTACTGGGATTGAAGGTGTGAGCCACCACTAACTGACTCTGTTTCTCCTTTAGACTGGATTAATCTCGTGTAGCCCAGGTTGGCCTGGAACTCATACAGAGATCTGCCTGCTTCTGCCTCCTGAGTGCTGGGATTAAAGGTGTGCGCCAGCACTGCCCGGCCTCTATGGCTAATATGTCACTAGCTCCAAACTCTGATCTTCAGGAAAAATGTATTTGTTAAAGTACAAACAAAATATCACCACACACCTCCAAACATTTCACAGTGCATACATTTCACATGAGAAGAAGCTTTGAGAAAACAGGAGTTTGCGGCTTTCAAGTGTTTGCTGAATTCATGGATGTAATGCTCTAAATCAGCCCAAAGCGCAGCCAGTTTGCCATCCACTGCTGAGTGGAGCCAGTGGCAAGCAAGCCCTCTGGGACTCATGGGCACAGCCCAAGACCAAACATACAATCTAGCTACCGGACCTGTGAAAATGTCTTCCCAATAAACCAGAACATTGGAAGAGCCTCCCCACACCTCTGTGCTGTGTTATGCATCCTGTACAGTTCTGGGGCTGGCAAGGGAAAGTTCCAGAGGATTCACAGAAAGGAAAGAAAATGGGCAGGGCATGAGAAAGAGCAGGGAGAAACCTGAACAGGAATGAAGATTCCATCTATCTCTAGACAGAGATAATGACGTGTTTGCCAGGCAGCCAGGGAAGGAGGTTGAGTCTGCATATTCCCAGGTCTGAGGTGTTCTGTTACTGGAGGGGCAGAAGCACCGTCCAGAACTGGAAGACCAAGGCAGCCCCAGCCTGGGAGGAAGAGACCTTCTATGGACCTAAGGACCCAGTGCGCAGCACCACGATGCAAGTCAGGATGCTTGAGCAGCATGAAAAGTGTCCCTATCATCTCAGGGATGAGCTCTTTTTAACCCCGAATTGGTAAACTGATATTTGATTTAGGGAATTTACAAGCTCCCCAGTCACCTCCAGAGGGAGGCGCAGTAGCTGCTCTCACGTGTAGACTGTGTGTAAACTAGATCAATGCTCAGAGACCTGCTTCTTCTTTTCCTTTAAATAATTTATTTTTATTTTATGTGTATTCGTGTGATAATATTAGATCCTGGAGTTATACACAGTTGTGAGTCTCCATGTGGCTGCTGGGAATTGAACCCAGGTCCTCTGAAAAAGCAGTCAGTGCTCTTAACTGCTGAGACAAATCTACAGCCCCAAGACCTCTTCTTAAGAATTGTGGCACATGGCAAGGCTCCCATACTCAAGGACACCCTGGGCAGACATGGGGCTGCAGCTTTCCGGGTCTATATGTCACCCAATGGAGAGGGAGTTGGCCTTTTATCAGGTAGTGTAGAGAAGAAAGAATATCACCTGGAGGTTGACCACTTCTCACTGAAGGAGGGGCTAAGAGAACTGTGGCCATGAAGTAGGGAAGGAGCTAAATAAAGCAAGGGTGTTCTGAGTTAAAAGTTATTGGTTTTCTATTGGGTGCTAGAGTTTGGTCCTCAAGGTGTCCTACAGAGGCCATGAGTTAAAGGCTTAGTCCACAGGGTCTGGGGTTGGTGGAGCCTTTTAAAGATGGGGACTGTGACTGGAGAGATCCCTCAGAGGTCAAGAGCACTGAGGTGGATACCCAGCACCTACATCATGGCTCACAACTGTAAGTCTAGTTTCAGGAATATGCTGCTCCGTTCTGACTTCTGCAAGTGCCAGGCAAACATGCGGTAGAAGGACATACATCCAGTCAAAACACTCACACACATAAAATAAATTAACCTTAAATATTTTTAATGAAAGAAAGATGGAGCCTAGCAGGAGGTCTTTCAATCATTAAGAACAATATGCAATGGGACCAAGTTCCTCCTCTTTCTCTTTTCCACTTCCTAGCCTTGAGGTAAACGCCTTTGGTCTGCTATGCACACCCTGTCATGGAGTTCTGCTTTACCATGGGTCCCAGGAAGCAAGGATGATCAATGATGGAGTGAGGGCCCCCAAGCCACTCAAAACAAAACAAAACAAGAAACCCTGACATCCGAAATAACTCCTTGTAGATACAGAGAGCAGGATAAAGTGGCCAAATAGGAGGAAGCTGCAAGTCACCAAGTTTGCTCAGTTTGGCTCTGGGATTTGACTCTGCAGTCATTCAGTCAAGCCTATGGCTGACAGTACACTCCAACAGCTGTCTCTTTCCAACTAGCGAAAGTGAGGGTATATAAAGCAAGTGTTACCCTGGCTGGCATTGTAGAAGCATGAAATTCTCATCAAGGATTTATTATACCCTTACACTATAAGGCCTTGAGAAAATATAAGTCTAGCACATACTCAGGGTTCAAAACAGATGCCAAATGGCCAATTTCTACAGGACCAACTTGGGCACCATTATGCTCCAGCCACATGGAGCACTTGAGTATGCCAAGTTGCCACAGAGCAGAAAGCAGCTCTTTCCTAATCTTAATTTGTGACCTGGAATCATGCACCATACTTAATAAGCGTTCCCAGCATATAATGCATTCACCCCATAAAACAAAGCCCCAGACCACATCTGAGCTGCACAAGGTGCTTGGCACACTTCTGTAACCAATTTTGGTGTATTACGAATAAAAACAAACTCTGAAAGTTCCATCAACTGAAGAGGTAGGCTACATATATACAAATGAAGAATGCCCTCTTGAGACTTACAAAAAGACTCAGTGCCCCCAGGGCATCTCGTTTTCTATGTCCTGACTTTTTAAAGCTACTTTTCTCAAGTTACTTTGGACATGATGCTTGACTAAAACGATGGGTGGATGCTTCCACAGAATTGATGTCATATATTAATTTACCTGAGCTACAAAAGCCCTGGTCAGAGTGAGTTTCTCATTCTGATCTTTCAGGGTAGTAGAGTTGAACGTAGCAATTCCCTGTCCTGCTCAGGCACCTTTCTGATGGGGCTGGGCCTAGGTTATGGACTGGAGTACCAAGATCCCATGAGCTGGAGGGGTTGGAAAAGACTCCTTCCAGAAACATCCAAGGCAGATCATGGACAACAACCAACTAACCAGATTTACTGCATATCTTCATTAGCTGATTCCAAATGATTAATTAGATAACTAACTGCAAGAAGTCTGCAGGTCACAGTCCCAGACCAGTGATTCTCAAGTGATAAACTGGGAGCAAAGTCATCCACAGACCCTCATTCAGAAAGCCAGGGGAGGGCCCATGTTGCAGTTTGAATGAGAAATGTCCCCCACTGGCTTATGTATTCAAGCAGTTAGACCCTGGTTGGTGGCACTGTTTGGGAGGGTTGGAGAACCTTTAGGAAGTAAGTCACTTGGGCCAGCCTTTGAGTTTTGTAGCCTGGGGCCCCACTTCCTGTTCTCCCTGGCTTCCTGTGTGTCTTTGGAAAGTGATTAGTATGCTTCCTGACTGCTAGGGTAGCCTCCTGTACCTACTGCCATGCCTCCCCAGCATTAAGGGCCAAATCCCCTCTGGAAATGCGAGCCACATTCAGCCTTTCTTCCTTCAGCTGGTTTTTGTCAGGACACTCCTCGGCAACAGAGAATAAACAGCCTGATGGGAAATTCGAACCAGCTTCTAGGTAATGTTGAAGTGGTTTGTGTCAGTGGTAATGAAAGTTCTTCCTAGCTCACATGTTTCCTAGCCACACTTAAATGATACCATAGGTGCATGGAAGAGGTCAGAGAATGATAATGATGATAACTTTACAAAATCATTGAATCTCATTCCCTTTTCTTAAAACTCTCAGAATCTTCTTCAATATCAAACTTAGCCTTAATTTAGGCTGGTATTTCATTTGAGTTATCCTACAAATGTGAGTACTTCACATAAGACGATGTTGGGGGAATGTCACAAAGAAATAGCTGACACTGCACTTCTTTGTTTTGTAGTGGTGTAGAAGATAACCTATACTAAGCCTAAGACACAGAAGTTCTGGGTGACATACTGCCAATGGATCAGATTTCACCTGGAAAGCATTCACTTTTCTTTTCAGGAAACTACACTATGATGGGGACTTTTCTTTGATTAGACAATCCATTGAAATGAAAGACTATGACATCTTCCTTATAGCAGCTACTTACCTTCCAAAGTTATAATATCTTTCAGTGTAGTATCTGCATGTATGTAAATGTATCATGTACATGCAGTGTGTGGAGAGGTAAGAAGAGGACATTAGATTCTCTGGAACTGGAGCTGGCATGAGGATGCTGGGAACTGATTCTGGGTCCTTTGCAAGAGCTCTCATCTTTCCAGTTCCATGTAGTACCTTTGAAAGTCTCTTACATAGGCTGGTAAGATGGTTCATTGGGTAAAGCATCTTGCAGCCAAGCTCAGTGACCCAAGTTTGATCTCTGGGTCTCACATGGTAGAAGAAGAGACTCAATTCCCTCAAGTTGTCCTGTGATCTTCCACATATACACGGCGGCATGCTTGTGATCACACATGTATACACACATCCACACAATAATTTATATAATTTAAAGGTATCTTATTTTAAGCAGATACACTAGAGCACAGAGGAAAATGCAGGACTTTGGACATAGGATGGATAGGAAGGAGATGGATCCAGAGATCCTTAGGACTGGGTTATTTG